GGCACGGCGAACAGGCTGTACTTTTGAATCTATAGTGCCTTGAAAGCTCCCCTGATGCATAATTTCTAGTCTAGACCAGTTATTATACTCTCCTGGACTTTTTGAGAAGTATTTACACATGTTGCTAATTTACACAGGGTGCTTACAGCTACTATTGCCGACTGGGTAGTTGACCACACTAGGCAGTTGACCACTTGGACAATGGCTGGATATACATGGAGAACTGACAGTGGATTGACCTCGGGGGAGGGAATAGGATGTCTGACGAAGGTTTGGACCAAATTTGGAGGCGAAGTGATGGGTGGATCGGCAGCGGTGCCGCGTTTGATCACGATACGATGCGTGAGAACATCATTTCTTGGCCATCAACGGCATCGATGTTCCGCTCTCGACCAATCCTTAGTCAATCCACGACATTTGGGGGTCGTTCTGGAGCTCTGGGTCGGGGCTTTCAACCAGAATATAATGTATCCCCCGAAATTGGCATCAACACTTACAGGACCCCCCAGAATAGTTAAATCCAATATCAAGCGGCATAAGTTGACCACCCGTTCCTAAGAGAACCGTTAGCACTACCGGTCTGAAACTTGGTATGATCCATATTGGGACACTATGCTTCAAATTTGGTGCTCCATCAATATTTTCTACATTTTATTCCTCTCTCCCCACTGTCCAATACATCAAATCACACGAAGTTTGGGGTTTCGACTCCCGGATTTGTTCTAGGCGCTCTCGATAGTATGGGGCTGAAAATTGGAGCCAAAGAGATTTATTTATATTCTATGAGACTGACTGCAAACAAATTTTATCCCCCTGTGGCATCTGTTGGTTGCATGGCAGTCAGTTAGTCAAAGGACTTTATTACCCCTATTGGCTTGCACTTCAGAATAAAATTTGTATGCACACCCATGTCTTGGAGTCCAATGTAAGGTACGCTAAATGGTAGCCTGGAACCTCCAAAGACCACCCAGACACTAGGCAGTGTCAATTCTGTCCTCAGCGGCGTCTTCAAGGCAGTGGTCAACTACCCTGTTTTGGCCGTTTTTGGAATGTCGCCCAGAAAAAAATTGCTCGCTACTCGGAACAGCGTCTAAATTCCGCCAAATGTGTTTATCAGACTCCTAGGATGCAAGCCATCATTATGAATCCCGGCGGACCCCGACAGTCCACTGATGGCTTCAGAGATACACCACAAATGCTAAGGTGGTCAACTACCCGGTGATTGATAGTAAACACCGGCCTCCCGCCATTGTAATGTTTAATTTTTGTTTTTTGATTCAAATCTTCAGAGTAGAGGTCCAATCCTTCCGATCTGGACCACACTCCCCAACGCATTTACGAGATGGATACACGGTATATTTGTCGAGGCACGTAGGTACTACACAGCTGATGGGCTGCAGCCGGCGGGAAGCGGATAGTGGGAAGCTAAGCAAGATTGCGGGAGAGCGTGTGGCACAACGGCGACGGCGATGGGACAGCGAGGCACTGCGAGTCATCTCGGGGGAGGGTGTTGATGAGATCGTGAACACCTTCGCAAACGTCTTGCGCATCACGCACGACGGCCCCGTGGTCCCAAGGAAGCTAGGGGGTGCTGTATTCTTTATGGGCATTATTAAGCAGGGCAGCAGCGACTTGATGCGGCGGGACAGCCAGTGGGTTGATGGCGGGCTGACGGCACTGATCATGACATGCTGATAACCTTGTTTATCTGTTATTTCTCACTATCAAAGTCTTCGTTCTTTGGGTGGAGAACCCGGCAAGACCCCCTAATGATGGGGTGGAAGGCAATCCATTTCCCCCCTAATTTAAAGTGTATTATCGCACGCAGCGGCGAGAAAACTGATGGCTTTGATGGCACTGATCATGGCGCGCTGATAGGTTCGTTATCAGCGGTTATCTCGCGCTATCATATATGATGGGCAAGTAACATCACCGCTGTGTTTTAGTGCTCGGGCTGTGTATCTACAGTGTGGCGGCACAATATGGGAGAAATGGGACATTTGGGATGCACGGTTCGGCAAGATCCGGAAAACGGCATCCGCCGTAGGCCCTAATAATAGGGGGGAACATAACTTATTTTCTCTCAATTTATGGTGCATTATTGCGGGCGGGAGCGCCGACTTATGCTGCAGCGCCAGGACAACTGATGGCTTTCACGTGCTGATAACGTCGTTATCAACGGTTATCTGAGACCGATCACCCGTCCCGATTTTGTCGTGATTTTCGGTGTACTTATTATTCGAGACAGCGCGGAGCCCGCAGCATGCGGCGGTAGCGGTGTTGATGGAATCAGGGTGCGCACGTGATCTTGGGAATGCATCGACTGGGGGACCTCACCCATCCGTCCCTATTTTTTCGTGATTTATGGTGTATTATTCGAGACAGCACGGAGCCCGCAGCGGCGGCGGCGCGGCGTTGATGGTATCAGTGCACGCCCTGATGGCGCCGCGTGCGCGCACGATCTTGGCGGTGCATCGACTGTGGGGTGCTGTGACTACACACCCTATTATTTTGGTGATTTTATGGTCACAGGGAGGGGGACGGCGAGCTCAGCGGTGGCAGAGCGTTGATGCGGATGACAGCGCGGTGATGGCAGCACCCGTTTGACACGAAGTTGATGCCGCGATGCGCGCGGGCAGTAATGGCGACGACCACCGTGATGGTGATGGTGATGGTGATGGAAGGTGTGTTTCATGGATGTGACAAGTGAAATAGGGCTAACGAAGCAAGATCAAACAATTCCTCCCGCTTTCATTTGTGTATATGTTAGTAACTAGTAAAGCAGAGTATTGAAGCTGTTTTAATAGTCAGTTGTAGGAAACTAGCTACGTCGAGGATGAACAAAGAAAGACACCAAACCGCCGGGAATAGAAAAATACGTAGCACCTGATTCGAACCGCAGCGAGCGCCAAAATGATTACATAAGACAACGTACAGCCACTAAGCAATCACAAATAACGAAGGGAAAGTAGTGGCTGTCCTTTAAATTTGTTTCAACACAGCCACTAGGAAGACTAGCACTGCCACTAAATCCGTTACACAAATAGATCTGGGACACTTTTCGACTAGGTCTCCAAAACCTCATTTCGATTGATTATAAACGATTACATAAGTACTCGTAATGTATCACCGATGTCCATCAGCTCCGCTCATCTCCTACAACCCCACAACTCCGTAGAGCTCCTGCCAGCTCCTGAGATCCCAAGGGAGGCGCGTACTCGGCGACGTCCGGCAGTCCCGCACCTGCAGAAAAACATCACGACTCACTTCTGATGTTACGCTCATGACAGTGCCAGCGGCCACTCCAGGATGTCACCCCCAGGGCTGCCGACACTTCCTCCTGATATTGTGTGCAGCTTCATGTCTCGGGTTGTATTTTCGCGGCAGCAGTGCGTATTGCTGTTCATGCCCCGACGCGCTTCGACCACAATTTTCGTTTTTGACAGGTGTATATTTTAGACCACCTTATAAGGGACGATTTGATCTTTTTCAAGCATAGATTCGGGTTGGCCCCGGGGGCGTATGTGGTGTCCAGGTAAGTGCACCCATTTTCTGCGTGCTGTACAGCTGCTTTTCTGACAATCCCTCGGGCAGAATCACGTCTTTGGTTTATGTCTAGACTCGTAACCAGTCTGCCTACAATTGGCAAAAATGTGGCAAGCACTTTGCCGTAGGCAGACTGGTACTATTCGGACCAAACAAAAGGCACGGGCGGGATTTTGATGCCATCCGCCCTGGGCTTAATTTAACTCTATTACACAAAATGCAAAGGGGTGGAAGGTGTCAATCCTTTGTTACTTAAATTCTATCTCCTCAGAATTATCTGTAGGTATCTGAGCGGCCTGTACACAAGACTCAAAGTTGCATCGAAATTGATGGCAAGGCTCAGCCCCCATGATGCCGTGATCGGCACCGCCCAAAAAATTCAAACTCAGGCCTGTCTCAATTGACAGCTCCGAATAGTACCAGTCTGCCTACGGCAACAGTGCTCGCCACATTTATTGCACTCCGTAGGCAGACTGGTCACGAGTCTAGTTTATGTCTTGGGTTCGCGGTTTTCGCGAGTAGGCATAGCCAGCTAATCAATAACTGACACCTCTCCACTAGCATATGTACCCCTCTTGGCGCGCCGCACAACCATAGTCATCCTATACGCCCTCTACCCGCTCCTCCGGCTCCACCGCGCCATTCTTCTTCTTCCGTGCGCGTGCACGCGATATACGGCGGCGACCACGGCGTATCGTGATATTCGGGCTCCTGTGGATGGTGGTGCTTGGCGCGTCGCTAATGATTCTGTTATACGTCTCAGCCGTACCGGGGCTCGCCCCCGGGAACTGCGTTGTTGATGGATTGAGCCCGTATGTAGGCGCAGCGGGGGCGGCGATGAGCCTGCATGACACGGCGGTCTTCCTTGCGATATCGCACCGACTGCTTGGCGAATGGGTTCGTCAAGCGGACGCGGAGGGCAGGTCCGTGCGCTCGCGGGGCGAACCTGCGATGCCGCATTCGAAGTCGCGTCGCTCATTTTTTTTGGCCGCAGGATCACGGTGGTGAGCAACATCGAGACGACACTGATGGTGTACGTCCCGGGCGTTGACGCGGTTTCCGCGGCGTGCTCTCGATCCCGAACATCGCGCTCACGAGCCGGGTGTACACACGAAGCTGCACCAGGGGCCGACATGGCTATGTCCATGCCCGTCACAAGTGATCATCGGACGGGTGTGTTTGAGGAGGCTTCGCTGCGAGGAGACCCGCTACCGTCCGGCGCTTCGGGGTCGCAGACGTTGAACGCCATGCACGGCGGGTCTGCGTTTGGCGAGAGGTAAAAGCGGAAATCTGGCGGTGCGATAATCAGGGAGGATGGTTAGGTGCTCGAGCACACAAACATGCACACAAACATGATGATAGGACTGTAATATCAAAAATTCTGCGCGAATAGCTGAAAAGGCTTAAGATTAAAGACACAAAGACACAAAGAAAAAGGAAGGTGAAATAATCTTCGACACTGGCATGATTCGAACATGCGCCCTACAAGAGGAACAGATCACTATACTTCAGGGGTTCTAATCTGTCGCGTTAACCACTCCGCCACAGTGCCATAGTGCGCCCTGGAGGTCTATGGTCTTTGTGTGCTGGGGGAAATGAAAGGCTTCCCGAAGTCACATGCGTCACACTTTTATTTTCTTTGGGTGTTCTTCAATGTTATGCGGGTCAGCCTGCGGCCCTTCGCGGTACGCTACCGTCCAGGCGTCCGCCCGTGTCGCTGCTCCGATTCCCCTCTGAGGGGCGTGAAGGGTGCGCTGCTGTCCACGGCCCCTTCTTCGCCGCCCGAGCCGCACCCTTTGGACACACTCCGCGCGCTGGACCCAACAGACACGCAGAGCGAACCCCCGAAGAAAAAGAAGAAGAAAATCAAAACCTACGCCGACAACCCGTTTGGCGTCAAAGCCCAGGCCTTGCAGAACAGGATCCTGAAGAAGGTTGCTCTGAACAAGGAGCTATACGGAGAAGCCACCCGCGATATCGAGAAGGACAAAAACGAGCCTTCGAGGGAAGACGCGGGGGTAGAAGACGCGTGGAACAAAACTCCAACGCTCGCCGGCCCCCCGCCATTAATGCCGGTTCCACCGCGGTTCCCCCCAAAAGTGGCTGGCGAACGTCCTCCCCATTTCCCCCTTCCTAGGATATCTACAACGACGCCTGAGCCACCGACAGTCGCCGCTGGCAAGAAAGATGCGCCCAAACCGTCCAAGCACCCCAAAGCCGCGTCCGTTGCGCCCCCGACTGACAGAAACGCGCCCAAACAGTACATGCACCCCAGACCCACGTCCGCAGCCCCCCCGTCGCTCCAGGACGCGCCCAGATGGTCCAAGCACCCCTTCATCGCGCCCTCGGCCCCCGCCGCCGAGTGGAAGGAGAAGCCCAGGCCGTTCAAGTACCCCCCCGCCGCGTTCGTCGCGCCCCCGGGGCCCGAGTGGAAGCTCAAGCCCAAACCCACGTTCGAACCTGCGTCCGTCGTGCTTCTGTCGCTCCCGTGGTCCGTCACGTTCTCAGACCTCGGGCGTATCGCGCTGCGCGCAGGTGCACAGCCGGCGGACGTAGTGGGTGTCCACGTATATGCGCACCACGATGTCCCTGGCAATGCGGATGAAAGTGGGGATACGGACACGAGATGGAAAATGAATGGGGTGCGTGTTTTTTCTTATTCTGTGTATTCCCCCCTTTTTTTCTTCTTTTGGTACGGCTTGCCGTTCCTTGCACCCGCTTCGTACTTTTTGAATACTCCTGCTTGAGCCATTCCACATGTTTCCTCGCGCTCTTCCCTTTCCTCCATCTCCAACTTCCTCCATCCGCACCCATCCCACGCACTAACGCGCCCGCAGATGATCCACTTCCGCACCCCCGCCCTCGCACACGCCTTCATCGCCGCGCCCCTCCTCCTCTCCGTGCGCCCGCCGCCCACCCCCGGCGACCGCCCCGCCCTCCTCGTCTTCCCGCCCCCCGCGGCCGCGGCCGCGTGGCCGTCCCAGCGCGTCGCAGAGCTAGCGGAGGCGGTGCGCGCGCGGGACGATGCTGCTGTGCGCGGGCTGCTGGGGGCGATGGGCCTGGGCGAGGAGGTGCCGGTGCCGGTGGGCGCGGCTGAAGCTGACGCGGAAACGCAGATGGGGGAAGCGGAGCGCGAACCGGGCGCGGAGATGGAGGAAAAGGAGACAGAGACGGAGAGCGAGGCGGAGGCGCGGGCGCGGGCGCAGATGCTCAAGGCGATGTGGAGTCTAGACGCGCAGCCCGGCGCGAACGAGGATGTTGGCGCAGCGCCGCACCCCGAGCAACAGGAGGGCCCCACGACGTACGCATTCTTCGCAGATACTTCGACGCGCCTGTGCTGACTCTTCCTTCCTTCCGCAGCGAACCGCCGGCGAAGCGGACACGGGGCCGGCCGAGGAAAGTGGTGGAGGTTTCTGAGGAACCTGTAGTGAAGCGGGGGAGGGGCAGGCCGCGGAAGCTCGTGCACCGGCCACCGACCGCGGAGGAGGCAGACACGGACACAGACGCGCTGATTACATCAGGTGGCGACGTGCAATTTACATCAGACGCGGGCGACACGCCGCCTGCACAGCAGGCTTCCGGAGCTGAGAGGTACGTCCCGCGCATCGTAGCCGCTGTATGCAAGTCTGACTCCGTCCAATTGCAGCAATCTGGCTGAGATGCGGCGTCGGATTCAAAACGGGACTAGCCCCCCCGCTGATCATGAGAGGTACGCGGCCCCACATAGCGCTTCCGCGAGTCTGACTTTGCCCGCAGCCCGGTACTAATCACCTACACCCCCGACGCCCCCGCTGCGGCGCACCTCGTCGTGGTCGACCTCAAGCTCACGGCCCACCCGGCGCACACCCCCGCGGCCCTCGCCCGGCTGGAGGAGACCGGCCAGACCCGCTGGCTCGCCCTACGCGTCCCCGGCCCCGCCGTGCCCGTCCTCGACCCGGAGCCCGCGCCCGCACCGGCGCCCACGCCCGAGGATGCGGCTGAGGCGGACGCAGAGTCGGACGACGAGCACGAGCACCCCGCCGCGGCGCTCTACGCGCACGCGCTGCGCAAGGCCCTCGCGCGCGAGCGCGCGCTCGAGGCGGAGGTGCGCCGCGGGCGCGCCGAGGCCGCGCGGGCCGTGAAGGCAGCAGCGAAGACGGCGGCCGCGGCGCGCGTGCGCGCGGACTTCAGCGAGTTTGGCGCGCTGGAGGGCGTGTGGGTGCGCAGTGTGCGCGTCCCGCTCGCGGGGAGCGGCGCGGGGGGCAGCGGCGGGTGGGCGCAGGAGCTGCACGCGCTGGTGGGGTTCGGGAGCGTGCTGGCGGCGGCGCGCGCGCGCGCGGTGGTGGCGCTGCAGGTGCCGGCGTATGCGGGCGCGGATGTGCGGTACGTGAGTCGACCGTGGCGCGAGGCGCTGGAGGGGCCCGATGCGGATGCGGATGAGGACGGGGATGTGGACCTCGAGGCGGAGGAGGGGCGGGTGCTGAGCGGACGGGAGGAGGGGTGGGCGCGGCGGCTGGAGCGGCAGCGGCAGGAGGAGGCGCTCGCGCGGGAGCGCGAAAAGGAGCGCGACCGGCAGCGCGGCGCGGCGACGGGAACGTGGGGCAAGGAGCGCCTGAACGAGGTGCGCGAGCGGCTGGGGCGCATGCGGCGCCGCGAGGAGCGGGACCGGCAGCGCGCGGAGGCGCAGCGCGCGGCGATGGAGCGTGCGCGGGCCGCGGACGCGTCCCACTCAGACCCCCCCTCGGATTCGGATTCGGATTCGTCGGGACCGGACTGGGACGGCGAGCTAGAGGAGGAGGCGCGTCTGATCGAGGACGAGTTCCCTGGGTATTTTGGTGGTAGGGGCGTTCCGCGCACACCGCCGCCGCCGCCGCCGCCGCCGCCGCCGCAGCAGCAGCGGCCCTACGTACCCCGGTTCTAGCACCCGCCCGTCCGCGGCGTCTTGTGCCCCAGTTTCGCGCCGCGCGCGCGGCGCTCCGAGCGAGGAGGAGCGGAGGGTGCGGCCACGGACGCAAAAAGTATGTGTATCCACCCGTAGGCCATACATGCAATGTAATATAATGCCGCTAGAATAATAACGATGCGGACGAAGTTTAGACGACTACTTATCAATGCGAACTCCGGTTTGGAGACGTGGCGATCTAGATGAGGTGCCCGTCTGCGGTGCCACCACTAGCTCATTCCTGCGCAGGTCCCGCTTCCTACTCCCTTGTTTGCGCATCCGATAGAGTTAGGCGATACACCCGACTTGACCTGGAATGGGGGCGGTCGCTGTGGCGGAGGTGGCGCTGCGGATAACCGAACGGACTCGCAGAGGCCGACCGAGCGCACCTTGCTCTGACCATTGAAGGCCCGCTTCACTGAACGCGTCGCGGGCGGAGCCGCCGAAGCGCGCGTGGAACGCGACGAGTTACTGCTCCGACGCGGAGGGCATGCCACCATAGTAGAACGTTTGCCTGGTTGCGTAAGAACACGGCCGCGCGCAAGATAAAGAGAAAGAGAAAACGGACCCTACGAAGAGCTCCCAGGGCGTCCAGGGCTGCATGGCGCAGAACGGGGCGGGCCCGTCGCGCAGCTTGAGGCGCTGGCCCGGGGCCGCGGCGAGGACGACGAAGGACCCCGCCAAGAGCAGCGCCTGCGGGATGTCGCCGTTGGTGTGGGTGGCGGCGAGCGCCCAGGCCGACGGCGGCAGGTTCTGTTTCAGGTTGAGCCAGCGGAGGGGAGCGAGCGCCGCCGTCACTCCGTTCTTGTACACGATCGCCTCGTTGTCCGCGACGAAGAATAGGGTCGGGAGGTCGGGAAAGTCGATTTGCCTGCGGTGCGTCAGCGAGGCTTGTGAATATTCAAGCAGACCCGACCGACCGATTCCGGGGGGCCCGGTGAAGACCCCGTCGTCGGGTCTGAACGTCTGGGCTTCGCCCGCAACGGGTTCGGGTATTCCGGGTCGGTGAGGGCGCACAGGCCGCGCTGCGCGCCCTTGACGACGATTATCTCTTCCTGCCTGCCCGCAGGCGCGATTTTCCGCCGCTTCAAGCTCGCTTCCGCCCGACTGAGTCGCGCCTGGAAAGCAGTCAAACGGGGCGTACTCTACCTCTTCGTCAATGTTATTGCGCGCCCGGCGGAGCGCATGACCGCGACGAGGACGTCGTGGTATTCCTGCCGAACCATCATCGTGGGTGCCGTCTCGCGCTCGCTCGGGTCAGTTGTGTTCGGATTCCACTTCGGAAGGACCAAGACGCGCTGCGCGTTCAGCGGGAAGAGCGCCTCGTCAGGGTGGGGGCGCTCGATTTCTTCCAGCGTCGGGAGCGGCCACGGCCTCTCGTAGGCGCGATGCACGACGCCGGCCTGCGTGAAGGGCGAGATATCTGTGGCGGGGTTCTCAAGTTTGACCATTGTGCATGTGGACTCAAAGGGGTCTAGTGATGGTAGTACGTAATCGACATTCAAGTTTTCCTACAAGAAGCAACGAACGCGATAAAAGTAGGCAAATAATACGCAGAGTAGATTCCAGTGAGTGGACGTGCGTGCATTCAAGAGCCAAGACTAGACAAAACAAACTACTACTACTAATAC